ACGCACAAACGACGTGTAAATATGCGTAAAATACGTGCGTACTACTTTGTGTAAACGTGTAAACCAGGTAATAACAGGTCAACAACGTGTAAAGGACATGTTGTTTGCGCACCGTTTGTCCTTTTTTGTTAAGTCACAAACAGCATTTCCCTTTTGGGTAACGTCACTTCCTGTCAGTTTGAGTTGCGTCTCTTCTCATTGGCTGTTTCAGGTTTAGGGCTAAACCCCTTAAGCAAAGAGAGGGGTGCCAGGCACCAGCTTTGTTCCTGACGAGATGTTAACAGGTAGTTTCCGCCTCAAGTTCGCATGAAAATTTGATGTGTAGACACATATCTTATGCGCTGTTTACGCATCGTTTGCACGTTGTAAATGTGTCAAAGTCAGGTGAAATGTTTGCATGTGTTAGGCCTGAAAGGCTTTCGATCAAAGCATTTATACTTGACGCTTACATTGGTGCAGTATTCTCCGAAAGAACATGTGGCAGCACAGTTTACAATGTGTGAAATGTTGTAAAAAGGAGAATAAACGCTCAACAGACAAACAAACCTTTTGAATGGAGCACATCACGTGCAGAGTTCCAAAATTTTGGAGGTGCACAACCAGGCGCCGCAGCACTGTGTGGGGTCAACGCAATTGCATCGCTGTTGGCGCATGTGCCCTCGTGCTATGTTCAACACGTTAGCTATAAATCTAACTTCAATGCACTGTGAAGTTGTCTGCCCTTTCTTGGGCGAGGTACTAGATGAAAACTATTAAGAACTGTTAAAAACTGCTCAAATAAATGATCATTCACATACTGTACTAGATCTTGTTGAAGTAAATAAAATTATTGGTAAAAAATAAAGTGTCGAAGGTTAGAAGGTGACAACTCGTGTCACAAATAAACCTTTGGTGTTTAAAAAATCAAATGAAATGTGAGCTTTTGTCTCTTTTTCATTAAAACTGTGAGCTTTTGTCCGTACACATGGAGATCCGACACTAATGGATTAAACCAAGACACCTGATCAGACTGAGGTTTATCACTTTGATGAGATCACATTGATCAACTTGCACAGGTTTCACATTTAAATTCAAAGTTAATAACAAAGGTTCACACACCTTTCATCTTGAGGAATCAAAGATTTTGAAGCGCCTCTTCATTCTGTAGATGTGTGTTTCCTCTTCATCCACTGGAGAGAGAGAGAGAATTCAGTCATTACATAGTCCACTGAGTCCTTTGTGCGCTGCCAAATGTTGGGCACTGACAGTTAATAGTATTAGGTGTATGAATGTGTGCAAGTGTGTATAGCTTGCTGTTGCTTTGTTGTCCAACACGATTGGTATTTCCTGGCGTTTCTGGCTGTAGTTCTTTTCATGTATCACTTCATAGTCATTCTTTTTCACAATTCCTCCTCTGCAAAAAAAAAAAAAAAAACAGGTGCCTCCTCTCATTTCTGCTGCCAGCTATCATTCCTTACCCTACATGCTTTGTTAAATATGATCACGCAGCAGCTTCATCAGTGTTGGCAGTACACTGTATCAGTGGGAAAATGAAGCAGCCAGCATGCAGCTCATTCTGGCTTAGCACTAAGGTCTTGTTAGTGCTCATTTGAGGGCTACAGTACAGCAGGGAAATAGAGCCATGCAGAGCAAATTTATGCCCAAATAAGCCTCTTTGCACCTGTAAAGCCATGCTTATGCAAATGATATGTTAATCACAGTAGTTTGCCCACATTATACCTATTTCCTGGATGGAGTGAGACTGATGGATTCCCTAGTGTTTTGAGTTTCGGGCGTAAACTCTCCCCCATCGCTGCAAAACATATCATTTATTGAGTTTGGTATTTCGTCGGAAATATTGTCCATAGCATAAAAGCAAAAACAGGGGTTGAAATGCTAAACTACTTTACACAGAGGTGCTCTTTTGTATGTTTTTTGCTAAAGCAAGTGCATAAATACTGTCGAAAACTCTTGCAGATGCAAGCTGAAGAGTCAAGAGGCAAGATGAACTATATTAGTTTTAATGCTTCACTGTGTTTACTAGAGATTCAACTCAAGATAAAACAGTTTGAAAAGCATCGTGATGCAATCGTTTTAGGGTGTTGGGGTGATATGAGTTGTGTGTTGTGATTGGGGGCTAGCCTGGTAAAAACCAGCCCCTTGTTCTTCGCTTTGCTTCGTACAGAGGGTCCGTACTCGGCTATTGAGAAACGATTGCTTGCTGGAGGCGTGGACTCTGTTGAAGATTTTTTTTTGATTAAAGTTTTAATTATTTCTTTAAAAACACAACATCAATTCAGTATACAAAAATACAAATCGTAGCAGAAGAAGAAAAAATATTTTCTGCCCCTTTTTCTCAAATAATAAATTCAATCAAAAATAATCTTGAAATTACAAAAACAAAAACCATACAAAAAGAAAAACAGTAAAGGTTCGACTCCTTCTTTAGCAACAATTCTTATATTATACATTTACATATTTCTCCAACAAATTAACCTTTATCATTCACTCTATAACACACATCTGGCATTTTTAATGTCATCWTCCAGATTATTCCATAATCTTATACCCTTGATTGAAGTATTCCGTTCCTTCAAACTGGTAATAAATTTAGGTTTAACAAACATCTTTATCCCCCTGAGATTTTAACAACTATCTCATTTAAAAAATGTAATTGGATGTTTGAAGGTAATGTGTTTTTATGAGCCCTATACATAAGTGATAAAATACCATGATCAACCAAATCATAGAACTTCAGTAATTTCAACTGATGACTGTAATGTTTTCTGGTGATAATTTTTACAGCTCTTTTCTCTTAAAAAAAAAAAAAGCTTTTCCCTAAACGTTAATACAGATACAGAACACAGAAGTTTAAAATGATTCGATCTGATTTACCCCCAATCGCTAACGTTTGGTCGTGGTGCACCAGCTCGACTGTGAAGGAAGCTACGCTAAGAAGCTAACCGGAAATTGCGTGCGCTGTAAACAACCATCCCCTACTGGGAGAGAAGCACCGAGTCGAAGGAGATGGCTGTAAATGAGTGCTGCAGGCTTTGTGAAACAAATTTTATTTAATTCGGAAGGGCTTTGTTCATTTCTTCCGCTGCCATTGCTAAACTACAAGCAGACTAAAACAGCGCAGAAAATCAACGTAATTGTTCAAACTCCTTCTGTTCGATGATTAGCCTCGTTGGAATTCTACTGGAAAAAATCTTGCGTTGGAGAAATCCCAGATGGAACCATGACAGGTGCCACATGGTGTAGCGTCGGTACGGTCAGTGTCAGAACGGGTCAGTCCAGGTGCTTTTCCATTGATGTTCCTCCGGTTCCAGTGGGTGTGTGTTTTGGGCGGTTGGTGGAGGTGAATTTTGGGTTTTCAAAAAAAAAAAAAAAAAAGTTAATGCGCAAAATGAGAGATGGAAACACATTTGCGGAATAAGTTCTGAATTTTTAAAAATTCGAATTAAAATCGGATGCAAACACTACTGATGTCACTGCTACAGTTGAAAAAAATGATGCCTCGAGTTTTAGTTGTAAACGCAGCTTAGTGCGTTTACAATAGTACCAGCGACTCCAACCCCTAGCCAATCAGTGACGAACAGTGTACTGACTTGGCATTTTGGTATCGACTGGGACCGCTTGGAACCACAACGAAGTAGGAGTGGGCAATCATGGTCCTCGAGGGCCGCAGCCCTACATTTTACATTTTCCCTGCTCCAACACACCTGACTCAGTCACTGAACTACCTCTTCCAAGCTCTGCTGTATGGAGGACCGACACTAACATAATTAGAAAAAAAAGCAGAAATAGATAAATGAACCTTTAAATAAATAAATACATTTAAAATGCACCAAATAAATCAAAAAGGAGAACTTTAGCTCATGTTTTATAATTTAACTGACCTTCACATTTATTTTTCCAGCTTAGTTCCAATAAATTATATATTTTAACACATAATTTAAACTTTAATGTTTTTAAATATATATTTTACATAGTTTTTACTTTTACTTGTACATGCATTTTTCTCTCTTGAATGCTTAAATTGAATTATTTTTATATATTTTTCCAACAAGTCTTTTTATTTCTATGTGTTGCATGCTTGTGCTGCCGCTGTTTAGCTTAAAGTTTAGTTAAAAATAAATGCACAGGTAATGTTTTCCTCCTTGCCTTTGCTTTAAACTAAACTTTAAACTTTTAGCTAAACTGAAGAAGCACAAGCATGCAGCACAGAAATAAAAACACTTGTTGGAAAAACATATAAAAATAATTAAGTATAAACATTTAAGACACACAAATGCATGTACTTGTACATGCATTTGTGTGTCTTAAATGTTTAAGGAAATGTAAAAGGAAAAACAATTAATATATATTTTAAAATACAGAAAAATTTAAATTATGTGAAGAAATTTATAGTTATTATAGATTAGTACTGATGTTAGAAACAACACTAGAGTATCAGGGTTTCCTTTTTATAATACTTTTATAATGTTTGATCTATTATGTGTTAATTGAAATAGAGTAGWTACATGTCTGAATCATAAACAACACATAAGTGAACCGTTATAATAACATTAAGATGAGATTTTTGTATGAATGCCTGTGATTCAGCCGTAGGTCAGTAGGGGGCGAACTCAGGCATTGAAGAATCGTGTATAAAAACGTATTTCCTGATTTTGAGTCAGTGTGGGTTTCCTTGTCAGCCGGTGACAAATAAACCTCACTCAGGTCCAGAATTCTGGTGTTGTATGACTTCATTCCTTTCACAAATCATTTTATTTAACAACTGTGTTTTCATCTTGACTTCAGTCGATATTGAACATGTATTTTCTTACATTACTACACCCAAAAATCTTTTTTTTTTCAGTGCATGAGAGAAAACAGTTTCAGTAGGTCTGTTCAGAACCGGCATCAAAGGTAAACACCACAGAAATAAATATCTTTTAGACTAAAATAAATCAGTTTCTTTCAGTCAATCCATTCAACTGATAAAACGAGTGTTTTTATCTGTTCAGTGCACGTTTGCATCAACTCACCCAATCTGAGGGGCGGTCTGGACCCAGGTGGTCTGCAGGCTGCACACATCGACACCTTAAAGACCCAAACAGCTGGTTTTAATGTTAACTGTACATTTTATATGTGCGTTTGTCTGCAGCTTGATACCTGTAGGCCTTTGGAGATCATCTCCTTTAAGAGGTCTAAGTTGGTGAATTTCAATCTGGAAAAAATAAAAACAGAGCTGTTAGATTTATTTATCAAACTATGAAAGAGAATCCTAACAGAACAGACCTGATTGTGCTATTTATGTAACAACCCAATCCCACATGGTTTTATCAATAATTTAACATCAATAAAATCCTAAATWTCCCATGTTTACCTTCACAGTGGCTGTGTCCACTCATCTGAACAAAGACCCAGTCYGTCCTGCCAAGCTGCTCCAGGTGAAGATCTATCTGAAGTTAAATAGATCAATATTTGTATTCATCTTACTAATAACAGATTAACTACTTGTTAATGCAAAATGTCCTGATGCATCTCAGTAATCCAGGTAAAAAACAAAAAAGAAAAAAATCATATAGGTCTTCTGGACGGGTTCTTCTC